ACCGTGATAACGAAATCGAAGTGCGCTTGCGCGGATAAGTACGTTACCCGTTAACCTACGCGTGCTATCTTTCAGATTTGACGTTACCGTAGTAGCGTAGGTGTAATTAGTGTACGTACAACAAAGCGCCACCCTCGGATGCCCGCTTCGAAGTGATTTTAGCATAGTTGTTGAAAGATTCGCCTTGTTCGCAGCAAACGACAGTCTAAAGTGGCTTCGCTTGCCTTCAGTTAGCTTCGACTATCGAGTATCACGGATAAGTTGGCGGAGTTTGGAGATAGCTTCGCATTTTTAATGCCTCTAGGCCTAACTACAAGATTCATGTAAACAAATTGGCAACATAATTTTTTTCTGTTTGGTGTATGGTTCATATTTATTTGCTTTTATTATTAGTCAAATAAACTTGAAACAATACTTCGCGGGGTGATAGGCAAACATTCTCGTTTTAATTCCCTTTTCACAGTCTTTAACTAATTCAACATCCGATAGGCGGCGCCACCGTCTCAGCTAGGGCACGTAAACGCTATGCAACTAAACTATAAGACGCTGTCCAACATGTTTTATTTTCCTATTCACAGTCTTTCACTAGTTTAACACCCGATAGGTGGCGCACCATCCCAGCTGGGGCACGTAAACCACGTAAATGCTATTCCGCTAAACTATAAGACACTGTCCACAATGAACTTTTTTTGCCCGGTAACGCCATTCCCTTAACCTCCGCTATCACGTTAACGGTAACCTATAACTAGACAGTTATAGTTTGGCGTTAGCGTGATAGCGTAAGTTAAGGAAATGGTGTTACCGTGCAGCAAACGTTCGTTGTGGGCAGCGTCTTATAGTTTAGCGAAATAGCGCTTACGTGGTCCACGTGCCCCAAATGGGATGGTGGCGCCACCTATTGAATGGTTAATAAGGTAAACAGTGAAAATGAAAAGAAAACGAGAATGTTTGCCTATGCCACCACGCGAAGCATTGTTAGAAGTTTATTTTTGTGATAATAAAAGTAAATAAATATGAACTACGCGCCAAATGCGAAAACATCTACGTGGCGGATTTGTTTTGCAGTTAAACCTAGGCACGTTCGAAATGGGAAGCTATCTCAAAAAGTACGCACGCCTATCCGTAATACTCGGTCATCGAAGCTAACTGAAGGCAAGCGAAGCCAATTGGAACCGTCGTTTGCGGCGGACAAGATGAATCTTTCAACAACTACGCCAAAATCACTTCAAAGTGGGCGTCCGAGAGTACCGCCATTTACGTACACTACGTACACTTACGCTACTACGGTAACCCTAAATCAGAAAAATACCGCGCATACGGGGAGCGGTACGGGTAACGTACGTGTCTGCGCATGCGCACTTCAATTCCGGTATCACAGTACACCCGGTATCCCAGCGAACCCGCTATACTATAACTTTCTATTGTCTATTAAATCTGAAAAATACCACGCGTACTGGAAGCAGTACGGATAACATACGCATCTGCGCATGCGCGCTTCGATTCCGGTATTATGGTGCGCCCTGTCTCCTGGTATACTATAACTGTCTGTTGCTGCAGCTGTCGATGCACAATCCGGGGTGGCCTGTTTTTTTCGGGTAGGGGCCCGTATTCTGGCTGCAGTCCCCTCTGCCTGCGGCCTGCTCGCTGTTCGGCGTTAGCGTCGGTGTCTTCCTCACGACGTGGGCTGGGTTCACGGCTCGACGGGGGCGTCCGGTACGTGTATTTGGAATTGCTGGCCCCGCATCGCACGAAAGAGGGAAAAGAAAAAATGCGAGGAGGACGCCAGCGTGACCATCAGGACTGCTCGCGTGCTATTGGGTCCTCTGTGTAGGGGACGTGTACTCCTATAGGTGACATGCTAGTGACGCATGCATGCACCGGCGATGGAATGTGCGGACTTTTTCCGGCTGTTCCATCGTAGGGAAGCACCCACAACCTGCCGCCGCACTCTTTCTCTATCCCTTCTGTGGCAGCGTGGGCTAGTTGGTATGGCATGACGATAGTTATAGCGCGAGAAAAAAACGATGGCATAGAGACATGAAGGAGACGTCTCCTTCTTGTCTCTGCGTCGTCGTTTTGTTCTCGCGCTATAACTATCGTCTTCCCTTCTGCCTTTCTTCATCCCTCTTTCCCTCTCCCTGTAAGAGCTGAGCCGAACCATGCTACCCGCAGGAGTTGTAAAAGAGTGACTTTTTTGTTTTGTTTAATTCAATCAACCACTACATCATACGCGCCACTGATGGCATGGTCGACGCTCATGTGCGACTTGAAGTTTGAAATTACCATCCAACGTTCAATCACAAGCATCGCACTTCTGTCACACACCATACCAGTTCCAACTGCCCTTGCAGAAACGCGATTCCGACTGTAATGGCGTACGCCCAGACGCTCACATCTGTATTAGGCACCAACACATCAAACGTGAAGGGTGTTTCAGTCAACGACACAGTTCCGAATGACATGGAAGCCTCGCGCACTATTACGTGCGAAGTAGGCTCCAGTTCGGCCGGCACATCTGACGTGAAGGGCCTCCTCGTCGACCTCTGCATGAACGGATACGCACGAGTGCCTCGCCAGCTACAGCAAGGCAGCTAATACGACGATCCAGGTCGTATTAATGGCACTGCTGCTGTATGTGCTGAAGGCGTCGCGGAGTCACTTCCCGTTGACAGTCCCGTTGACAGTCGGAACCAATTTGCTCATTGAAACCATCACCATGCTATCGCCATCTTATCGAAATTCACTCGCTCGCACCCTCGCCGCCCGGTAGCGATCCATCCAAGACACCGAAGGGGCGAGGGTGCTTCGGCATGATTGAACAGCCGTAAACACTTCTCTGTGTTTCCGTGACTCCGCGACGATGATAGTGACTGCCGGCGTGTCTTCGGGAGATAGGCGGCTGAGCGAAAATTTGCCCCATGTCTTTGCTTCAAACGACCATGAAGCAAGCAATCCTGGGGGAGTTAATAATGCCCTCTCCGAGGCTTCCGTGGCGTCTGAATATGCAGCTCGAGCACCCAACTGAAGTCTTTTCTTCGCTATCTTATTGTGTAACCCAGACCCCGTCCCTCGTTACCACGGACTATGGCGGGGGCTGCGCCGCTTAGCCGGAGAGGGTCTATGGCAGAGCGGGGAGCATGGCTGCAAATGAGGTGCAGGTGCGCAAGTTTAATCTGTGTCACTGTGTTACCAGCGCGCGCGTCACCAGCACGTCACCTCCAGAGACGAACCAATAGCGCGCGAGCCATCCTGACGCTGGCACTGGCGTCTTCCTCGCACTCTTTCTTTTCCTTCTTTCTTGCGATGTGGGGCCAGCAATTTCAAATGCACGTCTGGTACATGGAAGAAGCAGCACCTCCACTAGATGTCACGGGGTTGCAACGTTGAAGAAGGGAGCAGTTACAGGTCGAATAACAAACTGTTTGATTGATTGATATGTGGGGTTTAACGTCCCAAAGCCACCATATGATTACGAGAGACGCCATAGTGGAGGGATCCGGAAATTTCGACCGCCTGGGGTTCTTTAACGTGCGCTGAAATCTGAGCACATGGCCTACAACATTTGCGCCTCCATCGGAAATGCAGCCGCCGTGACCTGCAGGTCGCGGCGGCTGCATTTGATTCCGCGGCCCGCAGGTCAGCCGCCAAGTACCTTAGCCACTATACCAGCGTGGCGGGGCAACAAACTGCTTTTTTGAGCTGAACGTGTGGTCACGTAAAAGGATAATCAGATTACAGTAATACAGCGACACTAATAACCGCGAGGAGAGCGTTGGCCGTTGATCAACTGACAAGCAGTGAAGAGTGTCAGCATTTATACCCTTGACATCGAATATTCTAGCGTTATCGCTAGTGGCTACGTAGGTTTTTGAATGATCTGTGACGTTCCCGAAGTGGGTGTTTTTAACAAACTAAAGCTTCGAAGCTTCTCGAACAACGTAGGTGCGGTTTGAACTGAACATAGTGTAACGGGGGGGATAACAAGACTTGAAGAATGGAACGTGACCATATTGTTAAAATTCAAGAGCACAATTAACCACCCTTTGATTGTAGACGTTCTGTGCAGTTCCATACAAAGTGCTTGCAAATGGTACCTGTCATTACATATGCATATTTGAATTTCAAATTCACTTTGAACACGCAGTAAAGACATAGATGTGATCTTCCGGGTCAATGTATGTAGCGCATTTTTGCTTGCAGCTTGGTCTGTTCTAATAATAATTGTGGGGGTTTAACGTCCGAAAACCACAATGCCCCACTTAAAAAAACATAGACTCCGATTGTGAAATTCCCAACCATAAATTCGCACTCAGTTGCACCTGTTGGAACGTGACCAATTGGTTTTCGTAGGACGTACCAATTGGTAGTCACGGGGTACCGATTAATTGAAGGGACTACTTGACCAAACAGCCCTATGATGGTGGCTCCTTGCCCACACCATAGTGCAATAGATATTGGTAACAACATAGGAATTTTAGAGGGTACAAAAACATAACTATATTGCATTCTGACGATGTAGATTCTCCGGAAGCCCTAATGATGGAGGCGCCTTGGCTGCTATGATGGAAACAGTAAAAGAGTGCTTGCACTGCACTTTGTATACCATGACAATAGTTCTCTAATGACAAAGTGTAGAAATTTTCTAATACGTGGTCCCTAAATGCTGGAAAGGTAATTTCAGACAATTTCTGTGGGCTGTTGCACGTGAGTATAGTGTAGGGCGCACACCAGAAGCTACTTGAACAGGCAAAATAATTTCTCTGCAAATTTAACCCTCAAACCAGAAATGTGAGAATGCAATTGACCAGCTTGCAAACTTTTGGGACCTCCTGGCTATGTCACTCAGCTTCTCCATGATGAAGGGGTTCATCTGTTTGAAAGCGCCAGGCATCATTTCAGCAACAAGTCCTTTAGTTTTCTAGTCACTCTTTTTAGAATTCTGTCAAAGGAAAATTGAGTTATACTCCCAAGCCAATAATATAAAATTTAACTGGCCAAACTTGGTGAATAAATATTAGACGCGATGATTTATCTTCACTCTGCGCGTATAACAGACATTTTTCGTGGTAACAGTGGCTCCTTCTTTAGAGGGTCAGAAAACAGCATGGACAACCCTTTCCTGCAAATTGTAAGAAAACAAAAATGCAAAGGTGCTTATAGAACAAAAAAAACAAGCCACAAAATATTTCTTATTTGTAGTTATCTTGCAGAGACCATACCAGCACGTCTGTCGAACTCCAAACAGCCGTAAAAAGGCCCTTTACGAAGATAAGTCATCGGGGTTGTTTTGAATCCATCGCCAAATTATTGATTGACTATGCTGTCGCCAAGCTGGGATCGGTCTTTTAAAACCACTTCCTAAGTCAGTCTGCAAAAAAGTAAAAATGACAAACTTACACAAAACTCAGCAAAAATTAAATATGCCAGCTTACGAGTTCAACCAAAACTTATCACTACAGTGCAAGACGGAGGGGGACACACAAATACACTTGTGTGTGAACCAAGTTGAAGTTGTCCTCCTTCCTCTTATTTTATTATATTTTATTAGGTCTAATAAGTACCACTTTATTTATTATGTTTTAACAAGGCCAGAAGTCAATCTATGCCGAAAACTTGTGCGATTTAAACCAGCCCATTGGAAAGTTATTAAAAGAAAAATTGTGTCGTTATGTATGAAATCTGCTTTGAAAAGCTTGTGTCAGTGTAAAATGCAGCAGAGCTTTAACAGGCCGGTATTACAATATGTTTTGACTGCAAGCAACCCTCTGCTGCTCCTAACGGCTGTTACCGAAGCCGTCATATTTCTTTAAGAAATCAAGAGGGTGATGTGTGACTGTGAACTGTCGGGCCAGTTGTGGCGCCTTACTTTCATGCTGACGCACGTCAACCGAAGAGAGTGGTTAGCACCCACAATATCTTTATGACTTTTTCTGTATGAAACAAGGTCGCTAAGCAGTGCAGCTGTATATGCAGTGGGGGGGGGGGGGGGGGGGGTAGCATACACTATCCAAGCATGGAGTCCGCTTTATCCCGCGAAGCACCTTTGATACACACCATACCTAATTCTAGTGGCAAGACGGCATCGGGCAAACTGGGCATTGAATAATTGAGTAACTTAAGGAATGTGCACAATGCGTAAATGTTATTGGGAAAGGAGGACATCCTGTTGCTCATCTGAACTACACTGCTGCCGCTGTGCCTCATGATTTTGTGAGACGCTGATTTTTGACAGAAGCAGGAGTAAATATGTTGCTTGCACTTAAGCTCGCCACATCTATAAAATGGGAAAGCTTTGTATCATTGATACCTGAATATTTTATTAAACCTGCTACGTTTCAATTCGTGCATTCACCTCATTCTTAACCTCTGTGTATTGGTGCGTAATATGTTTTCCTGCAAGTGCAATGGTATGTAGCCATGGCATTTATAAGCCACTGACTGTTTATTAACATTAGGCAAGTACTGTTGAAAAATCTGAAGAAACCAGAGCCCGAAAGAAAGGACTCGCCAGAAAAAAAAAAGCACCTCAGTTGGCCCAGTGGCCAGAAAGAATAGTGCACGTCTGCACACAAGCACAATTACAGGCGACTAAGTCTGCCTGTATTTTAGCTAGTTATTTTCCATAACTGTAGGTCATAGCCCTATTAAGGCATGTGCTAAATCTGCATATAATTGATGTAGGTGGCACTTTAGGGGAGTATCATAAGCCACTGTTCACCCATCGTTGCCCGACTCAAACTCCTAAGCAGCATCAGATGAAAGTCTCCCAACTTTGGTCTTGCAAATTATTACAGCTTCTTTTACCGCCATCTGTGTCTTGTAAATGCTGAATTATCTTGTTAGTGCCAACGACACAAATTGAATTGGTAGCGCTGGAGCCATTTTTTTCAGGCTTTGCAACAAACAAGAGTGTGAGACGCAAAACACGCTTGGCCACAACAATAATTGGCAAACTTTCAAATGCCAAAAGGATCTTAGTCGCGTAAAGCTAGTCCGTGCTGCAGCACTCGTGTTTCTCTGTTTGCTGCGCACGTGTGGCAAATTTGAGCGATCACCAAGCCGATTCTGAGTATGACTTGGCTTAGCTTGCAGTTTGGTTGTAGTAGTCATCCAATCAATTTGCGGTCAAAAATGGTCTTTGCGTGCAGCCCCGAAACGCATGGCCTTCTAAATTGACAATTGTAATTTCTGCATTCACTTTTACCCTGACACAATCTCCAGTAATAGCCACTGCAACCTTTTAGGGCTGGCAACCTAGTGAAACTATTGTAAAAAAAATGCGGGAAGCTGGTCATGGCGTTCGATGCTGCACTCGATCAGCCAGCCGTAGTGCGGAAAATCTGAATGGTGCATCGTGAGTCATCCAAATTCTAGGTCCTGAGTTTGCAACGCTTCAATGGAATAAGTGGCTATGCCACAGAGATGTCCGAATGAATGGGCATGTTCGAATTTTCAGCGTCCGAAAAAATAATGGGCGACTGTACATGTTGCAAAAAACAGAGTTGTTAGGGCCAGTGCTGGTCTCTTTTATTCTTTGGGGGGTTTGCATGGCTTGCACTCAAGGCTTCTCCATAAAAAGGATGTGCTTTGTGACAGACAATTATAAATATATATAGACAAAGTGTGTATGTGTGTATAAATAGTATAAGAAACACCTTTTTTCTGGCATTATTACGTCGCAGGCACACTTGCAAGGCGCACACACTGCGGTGGCAGATGTAACCTCCCTGACGTACCAAATCCCAGTCATGTCAGCGCTTTGTAAGGCTAGATCAAGTTTTAGTGGACTGGTGTTCAGGGACTGTGCTAGTGCATAATGCAGCAACCAATTAAACAGCAAAATGACTGAGCATCAACGTTTGAGTTCGCCTCGCAATACATGACCACCTGACCTAAATGAAGTCTCAATGATTCCCCGATTCCCTTACTGCACTTACTTAGCACGAACAGACTCTTTCCTGTTCCCCAAAGTGCACATCACCAAGCCCCTTCCTGAAATGCACACCACCAAGCCCCTTCAGAGAAACTTGTGCGCGTGCCCTTTAAAGACTCCTGAGAGCGAAATATTTGTTTGCAAATATTTTACAAGAATTTGTAGCTTTGCTTGTGTTAATACCGACATTGAAACATAACTGATCTAATGCATTGTATAATAAATACTAGTGCAGTATGACGATAATGTGTCGCTTGAAAATGGCCACTTAAGAATCCTAAGATACAAGCACCACACAGCGTGAAATTGCTTGAGACTACATGCGCTGAAGCATCGGTATCGGGAGACCTGCGGGTGGTGAAGAATAAATAAACAATGTGAGGCCTTTGATCATATCCCCCCGAGATAGAAATAGGATGACTACTGCTGCAAGCAGCCAAAACTACTGTGAGAGTAGCCCGGCAATAAAGTGAGAGGAGAGATGGGTGAGGTGGCACTCCTCACCGGGTGCCAGTTGTGGTATGGGCGCACCCCACAAACATTCCCTGTTGTCGACAATACTCCCCTTACTCAACGTCACGCGTGACCTCTGTTTGCATCAAATTAGAGATGTAGATTGGTGCGAATAACTTGGATGAGCACTCACTCTTATTTTAAAACCATATTAAAATATTCTATAGGCAGTGCTCTTCAATAATAATTGGTCATAAGTGCCTACGCATGCTGGATTGTCAGACAACACAAGCGTTTCGAGTTTCAAAATTTGGTGCCAAGGGCCATTTAAAACTTTTTGGAATTAATCTGAAAGAATGAATTTAAGTAATGAAAAAGCCATTGGCAAAACTTTGTCGGTGCTCATTACTTCAAAGACTTTAGAATGACTAAGAAGCGTCTTGAATAAGACTGTTTTTTTTTTTCTAAACCTTTTCATATACAAAAGGTTTATCAAGGTAAGCTCGAATTTTCAGATAAAGAATACACAGACACACAGAAGTACCTGTTGCAAGAAATATATGGCTGCACGACCCCTGTATGTATTGGGAGCGTTAACGCCTAGTATCCATGACGGCGAGTATGGAACAGTTTTGCTGCTTGCAGGAATGGTAAAGCACGTAATATTGTATGAGTTGGAAGCTGACTTATATTCATTGCATACTACCTGAGGGCATCCAGCCTGACAGAATGAGACACTTACTATGAATGAACAGAATAAGGGAAACATTAAGGGCTTGTGCACCTGCGTTAGGTACGTTAGTTAGAACTAACAAACAAGTTGAGGGAGCATCGGACGTATTCCAAGTTGGCAGGTTTAGCCTCTGCCAAAGGAAAACCATCTTTTTACGCAACTTTCTCTCAAAACACATAATTACTTGAAATAACATCTCCTATATTTTCATTGGTTTTCTTTTCATTATTACATTTTGTCAAGGTTGGAAAACGAGCTCTTAACATTGCCCATTTTTTAGTTCATTTCATACTATGAAGGGATTTAATGATGACGAGCACTTAGCGCGAAACAAAGGTCTGCATGCATCTTCTCACAAGCCCTCAGGTTTCACCTCCCAAATTAAGGCATAAATATTAGGAGGGGTTGAGGAAACAGTGAGTCCAATCACCTCTGTCTACCCTATTTTCGAATTCTATGACATTATGATAAGGCAACACTTCCAACTTTTTTGGGCGCTTTGGCAGAAAGCTTCAATCTATTAAAACTTGTTTTCGTTTTCGAAATTACCCTTTTACTTTACCTTCCATCACCACAGTCATTTGAATTAGCGCCCATAGCCACTAATGACTCAATTAAAAAATCTTTCAGTACAATTCCACTTTCGAATGCCGGTTCTCTTAAAGATCTGTTGTGCCCCATAATATGCAATTTCGGCTCACCAAGCACCTTACATGTTCTTCATGCAAAACAGATATAATTGTCCGTGACACCACCAAAATAAGATATGGTTGTGAAAAATACCGTGTCAACCTTAATTCGACAGACCATGCATGGTTAAAGATTATTTTTTTTTGTTCAACAGCATCGACACCGAATGTTACAACTTTGCTCAGTTTTGTTTACTGTTGAAATACTGTGGCGCCTGTGCTAGTCCTTTCCTATCTCATTTCAATCCTGTCTTGTTGCGCTACTCGCAATAGCTTTTATGTGCAAACAAGAAGTAGCCCAATCATCAACTCTTTTTAAAGTGTTGCTTTCTTTCTTCTGTCACAGGAATGAGCACTGTTTCGGCCTTACCTGGTGCAGAAAAACATATTGTCCCTGCGCTTCACTATGATGGACAGCTTGTTTTTCAAGTGTAGTCACCATTTTCTGGGATAGCCTACCTTCTTGCACCTCATGTGGAATACAATTGAAAAGCACACAAAGAATTATTCACAGATCATGCATTTCTCAACTTTTACACAAACAACTGCATTTTGAAGTTCTTCGCATGAATTTTAAAAACATTAGTGGGGATTATTTCGCCCTGCTGCTCTTTTTTTCTCACAAAAGTGCTTCTCTCCTGGTACTATCTTGATAAGTTTGATTGCAGTTAGTGGTAACGTTTTCATTGACATTACCTTTGCCTTAGGAGTGGTGGCGGGGTATTCAAACCACCACATATGTGTTGTATAAATGCTGACTCAATATGATTTTTTATGAAGTCATGGTTCCTGAATACTCTACTGGTTTTGTTACTGGACACAGATAGGTCATTGACCCGTGCATACTTTTTTAGTATATTGCGCCTTGGAAACTAGTGTAAGGAAGCTCAGTGCGAAATTTTGGTAAATTTAACAGGTTGGTTGGTGTTACACTCAGTGCAACATTGATTTTTTACCTGTCATGACCTTTGTAATTGACACCATAATAATACACTATAGTTGATAATTATAGTCGACAATGTTTTTCCTGGCCTTATTGTCAATCGGATTACTGTTGTGTCTAACCAAAAATAAGCCCCTCGAAAACGCTCCCCTTTTTTGTTATTTGCATTCAGTGAGCGCGTTATAACTGGGTTATGACATGCCGAGCCAACCAGCGTTTTTAAGACCATCACAAACATGGCCGCGAAACTTCACATTTCCCAAAAGACTTGTCTTGGTTGTGTATTTTGGTTGCCAAAAGTTTTAATGCCTGTTGTAAGTCAGTAGATCTCTGCCGACTGAGCTAGAAGGCGTCAAAAACGTTTTTTTTTTTCATAAAATGTTTTGTAATTCACTCGATAAATGGTATTTGCGGCAAGCTAATGAAGCAATGTAACTGTAAAATTAATTACTCATTTATGTATATCAATTCTTCGAGGGCTTATCACACCAGCAAAACTGAATAGTTGCTGAATTCGGAATTTTTTTTTCAGGAAACGTCGCAAGCTTAAAGAGCGCAAATAGATTATGTGCAGCTAACCTGTTTGACAGGCTAAAAATTAAAAATGATTTAGGCACGGAAAGTATGTAAGGTGATCTGAGCAAACAATTGCCATTTTTCATTGGAGGGGGGGGGGGGGGGGGAGTGCTCTATTTAGCGCCAAAGGGCGCCTTGGTGCTTGGGAAAAACTGTGCATGATATCTCACTTGAAAGCGTTATATATTAGCTGAACGTAGGTGCACTTGCTAGAGAGTATTATTTTTTAAGTAAAAAATATTCTTTTAAAATTTTATGTATATGTAACAGCTTTTGACCTACGTAACTCTGCAGCATGACGCACTTGCAAAGGCAATCTTCAGCTCAAGTCCACTGATAGAAGTGCAGACGCCAATCTTGGTGCCATCTATAAAGCAACCGTAAAGAAAATGGAGTTATCATCTGCGTTCTACTGCCAACACAGGTGCACTAAGAGGAATGTGGCTAGAGTAAGGTGACAGGTAGCATAGCAAACGAAATATTTTTTGAGTGGGGTTGTGTAAAGAAAAAAAATTGAGGTCAGCCACACTTCATGTGCATTCCTGTGTGCATTTGTATCTGTACAGGTATATATGCTTATGAATATCTGAAACTAAAAAGTATCTGAACAGCAAGAGGGGCAGTGGGAGTCAAGCAGCTCTCACTCCTTTCCTAGTGATGACTCCGAGATGAGCTACGAAGCCGTTAAAAAATATACAATACGCAATAGAACTACATTACCCACAACATAAGCGAGATAATACTATAGGCTAGCCTCTGAGTTCCTAATATAAAGGTCTTCATTTGTCTGCAGTCATATGACAGGGTTTGGGCCTCAAGGAGCAAGGTGGTCTCCGGGAAGCTGAAAAAAAAGAAGAATTTGTATTAAGACTGCGTTCATCAGTGTATTTCGTGAAGGGTACTTACGTACTAAATATGAGATAACAATTTTTTATTAAGTGTGTAAAACACGCCTTCTGCATTTGCAGAAGTTCATAGGAAAGTAGCATTTGTGACCGTAAATCTCTAACGCTGGATGGCTCATCTGAAGTCACCACATTGACCACATTCACCGTTATACATTTCTGTTAGCGATAAAATGCAGATGATAAATTCAATTCCTTGTAGATAGCACGAAGTTTGCCATCTGCATCCAAGGCCAGTTGGCTTAAGTTGAGGATTGTCCTTGCGAATGCACCATGCTGCTTGAGTTGCATGAGTAAAAAGCTGTAAGGAATACTTAATTTCAAAAAAGTATTTCTGAAGTTAAAAAAATACTGTCTAGTAACTGCATCTATGTCTAGCTCATATATAACTTTCAAATGAGTTATCGTGCACATTTTTGATCAACACCAAGGTAGTTTTTTTGCTGCTGTATACAGAGTTTTCCCAAAAAGTGAAATTTGCATTTTAGATGATCTGAAACACCTTGATCACCTAAATTACTTTTAATTAGTAGCATGTCAAACAGGCTGATTGCACATATTCTATGTGGGCTCTTTGAGCTAGCCAAAATCCTGGAAAAAATATGCTTCAACAAATTCATGCATTTTGCTTGTGTGAAAAGCCCTCAAAAAATTGATATACGTAAATAAGTCAATATTTTCGCAGTTGTACTAATTTATTTCCTTGCCGTAAATACCATTTTATTGGGTGCATCCCAAAAACGACTTTTGTAAAAATTGCTTTTAACGCCCTCTAGCTCAGTCGGCAAAAAACTACGGACTCTTATAAATATGCAGGAAAGTTTTCAGCAATGAAAATAAACGAACCGGACAAGTTTCGAACTTCGACAAACACGAGGAAATTATTCAACTATATTCGTGGTGGTCGGGAAAACGCTGGATGATTTGAAGTGACATGACCAACTGCGCGCAAGTATGCTAGCAGACGTCAGTGACGATTTATTTATGTGTAGTGTAAGTTCTCGTGTTGTCATACTGCATTTTTTATTCGTTGTGTGTGTGTGTGTTCTTGTTTGCCTCATTGTCATTTCAAATGCAATATGCTAGAAAAGTTGAAGCTTAGACAATTTCGAATGTATTCATTAGAGAGCATAGCTGAACATACATGAGAAAATGAGATAGAAAAAGCCGTCTGCTTATTCTCTTGAGTTTTCCAGTGTTTTATGTTTGTTAGTACTTTTAATGCATCATCCAATTCTGTGGATTGTGTATTTCTTCATATGTTCATGCATGTTTTCTTTGAGCTTGATCAATATGGTCGCCAATAGTCTGAACCAACAAATTTGTTGTAGTACACTCTTCAACCTCTTTTGTACTGTTGTGATTTGAAGCTGATTTGGGATATTCTGGTGAAAATGGCTTCGCTGTAACTTGAAAGATGATCCAATAGTGCCTCCAAGTTTTCTATTTTCTTAGAGCAGAACATAGGTGCATTTATTTTATGCATTTGAGGATTGCCCGTTTATTGTATATGTTAGATGTGCGCTACGGGAACAATGTCCAGAAATATCTAAGGGAACTTTAGTCACTGGTATAGCATTTAATTCAAGGAAGTGCCATAAGTTCATCTCTTGACACATTATAATTAGGTTCTACAAATATGTTATTGGACATAGTCATCTACAGCACCACAGCTACAGAAATGCACTTTTTACTAAATTAGGTGGTCTTCGAATAGAAGTTTTGCCGATTTCTAGTCAGATACTTTAGTGTGACTGGCGAAGTTAGTTTGAATGTCTGTATTTCATTTGATTATTCACTTTTGAGCTGTATCGTACAAATATGTGAAAAATTTGTGTTTGTAGTTTTTATTTTATGCGCTTTATGTGGTGGTAAATATTGTGCTCTTGCTGTACAAATTTTGTGGTTACTGACCATGCTCACTTCTGGAAAATGAACAGAAGAGTTGTATTTTATGTGTAATTTAACCTCCATTATAAATATTCTGTAAGCCTTCAGTCTGTGCGCTTTCGTAATGCATAAACAGGAACTCTAAAAGGATCCGTAATTTGCTTTGGTGTTTGGGCTGTAAATAGGCTTTTCTTCGCGTCTAATACTTTTCGGAATGCAGCGTGCAGCCTTGCAATAATGCTTGCTCAGAGGGAGTTCCGGCTACATTGGTTATTCCCATTAAATACCAAAAGCACTCTCAAGAGAGGCGAGGTAAAACGTTCTAGTTTCCACCTATTTACTTTGAAATTGAATAAAAAAGATAAAAAAAGCTTGGTCACGGGACTAAAATACTCCCGCTCAGCCTCTTGAAAACGCTCAGAAGGGGGTAAAATAATGGCCTAATTATGCCGCAAATACTCCCAAGTAGAACCATAAAACTTTTGGTTCGTTTTCGCTGAGCCACAAAGGGAGTAAAGCTTCTTTCCAATCTACGCCCTTGGTATGCCCTACCACATGGGCGTTTTTTACTCCCATTTCGAGGGCGCAAAAACATGTACAGATGAGAGTGTTCTAGAGGACAAGCCAAAAACTCCCATCTGGGGGTTTTTCTGTTTCGAGTGAAGGGACATCCCTGTTGAAGCCCACGTTGTGTTTCTATAGATTCGGATACCTGCTCTTCCCATTTAAAGCCGCCAGGCAGCAAGCACCACTCTTCGCTGCTTTCCGGAAGCTCCAGAGAACCCGAATCACCCGAATAAAACCAGCAGATGTTCGGGATCCACACCGTGCTGTCGTGTCTGCTGCTCCCGCGCGTGCACGCATCCCAACAGCGGTGACCGAAATAAGCCTTACCGCCTTTTTCAAGCGATCGGTGCCGTGGAGACTTTCCCCGACGCACAGGCAATCTCCACCGTCGACAACAGGCTAAAGGTGTGCGCCGAGACGTCACCGCGCCACCGCCAACAGTTTTTGCTGCCGCCACCGCCAACTGATCAGCGCGCTGCCACCACCGATGGGTTTTTTGCGCGCCATTTATCTACAATTAATTTTTTTGTAATCCTGCCTTTCTTTGGCAGTTTATATTGTCGCCAGTAAATTGTTGGTCTTTTCTTAATTCTGCCCTCTAGTAAACTCGTCGCAATCCGCTCGCTGCCGGTTACAGTTAAATAACTGAATCAGCAAAATTTGTTCAGTACTACTAATAACGTAGCAAGGTAGTGTTGCACTCAAAATAAACGTTATTTTAAGCAAATTTCAAGATCACGGTAATTAGGCGAATGCAGGCCGGTGACAGCGCCAATGGTGGTGTTTGGCGAGGACTATACCAGCATATTCTGGCTGACAATCAAGTCTACATACTCTCTTTCACACAATACCAATGTATAAAATGTGTGGAAAGTCGGTATTGGAATAACAATCAATATGACTGTAAAAACGGGTGAAGAAAAATTTATAGTTCAAAGGGGAAGATTGGCGTTAGTTAATGTACACACTAAAAACTGCGAAGAGGACATCGCAGGAGTAAAAAGGCCAAGTTACTCTTCAAAGTATTTTTCTACTCTCGTAAGACATCAGATAGAGTAAAATTTATTTTCACTCTCTATGAAACAAGAGAGTGAAGCAGCTTTCTACTCTTCCGCTCTTTGAGAAAGTAAAATGATCATATACTCTTGAGGCATGAGAGAGTAAAACGCGATTATACTCCGGTCCTTCATTGCTTTTGGATGCGTTGGCACACCAAGAGTGATTAGCACTGCCTAATAACCACACATATATACACTAAAATACTGCATTTGTTTGTTGAGCCGTTAAAGACGATTAACAAAAGAACAACGTTTACAACGCGCGCTAGTGAATTTCAGCGCATTGGTAGGCAATTGGAACTCTTTTAATATCCACGTTTTTAGCCTTGAATATGTGCAGGGCAATAAATGAACACTATCCCATTCAGTAGGTCACGATTGAAACTCAACGCAGCTGGCTATGACATTCTCCCTAAATTAATGTTCATGTTTTTCGCTTCGACCATCGCACGCGAGCGATGCTACCATAAGCCTAACAAGCGCCTCCTCAACTTTTTCAATGCCCGGAACAAGGTGCGGATTTCAATTAGAAGCAGCCGTCGGTGCTAATACGGCGTTTCGACGCCAGGCGCCGCAACTGGAGTAGCGAGGCCGCCACATCGTCTCTCGTGCAAACGAATGCTGCGGCTGCATTCGAAGCTGCTATACGGCTCGATTTTTGGCTGCAATCACAGTGTTTAAGATGTAATAAAACTTGGAAACGAGAACCGTGAAGCACGTGTTGTTCTGAACACCTAGCTCATTTCAAAAGCATGTGTCATTCACGACTACTTGATGGAGGTGCTCACGCGTCGTCAGCTAGTTCAGGTCAGATTGGCACGGTGGATGGACGTGTTTTTTGAGCGCTGCCGATCGACTGAGCAGATAGTGGTTCTGCAAGTTTCGAGCTTGCCTTTATATAATAAGGCAGCAGATAAAACCTTTGTACCACTTGTTACATTGTACGG